CGACAACCCGGAGCTCCGGGGCATCACGCCGCGCGCGATCCACGCGCTCTTCGACGAGGCGCAGAAGATGGCCCACCAGTGCACGGTGACCGTGCGCACCTACTTCCTCGAGCTCTACAACGACGGTTTGGTGGACCTCTACCACGTCCTCGACAACCCGGGCAGCCGCGCGGCGCCGCCGAAGCTCGACGTCAAGCTCGACGCGAAGAAGATGGTCTTCGTCAAGAACGCCGTCGTCAAGGACGCGGCCTCCGCCGACGAGCTGCTGAACCTCTTCGAGGCGGGCAACGCGAAGCGGCACGTCGGGGCCACGAAGATGAACGCGGAGTCGTCGCGGTCCCACTCCATCTTCGCGATCTTGGTCGAGGTCTACAACCGGACGACCAAAAAAACGTCCGTGGGCAAGCTGAGCCTCGTGGATCTGGCGGGCAGCGAGCGCGCGGACAAGACGGGCGCGACGGACGAGCGGCTCAAGGAGGCGCAGAACATCAACAAGTCGCTGAGCGCGCTCGGCGACGTGATCTCCGCGCTGTCCACGGGCGAGAAGTTCATCCCCTACCGCAACAACAAGCTCACGCTCGTCATGCAGGATTCCCTGGGCGGCAACGCGAAGACGCTCATGTTCGTCAACATCTCGCCCGCGGACTACAACGCGGACGAGACCGTGACGTCGCTGACCTACGCGTCCCGCGTCAAGCTCATCAAGAACACGGCGAACAAGAACGCGGAGTCCGAGGAGGTCGCCCAGCTCAAGGCCATCATCAAGAACCTCAAGGCCGGCGGCACGGGCGAGGTCGCGGGCGCCGACGTCCTCCTCTAACTGTGTTTTAGTCGGGCCGCTCCGCGGCGCGGAACGCGGCGAAGCGCGGCGGCTCGGGCGCGTCGACGTCGACCGCGGCCGTCGCGGCCGTCGCGGGGAGTTGGAGCCGCCGCGCGAAGAGGAGGAGGCCGCCCGGGTCCCCGCGCGCCGCGACGCGCGGCATGTAGCGCCGGTCGCCGGCGATGGGCGCCCCCAGGATCGCGCGCGAAATGCTTGCGGAGCTGGTGCTTGCGGCCCGTGACGGGCTCGAGCCGCACCGTGGCGATCTCGCCGTGCGACTTCGACGGGTCGCGGCGGAGCACGGCGTAGCGCGTCGTCGCGGGCTTGCCGTCGACGGGCGCCTCGATCGTTCCGCCGTCGCGCGCGAGGCGCCCGCAGACGACGGCGACGTACTCCTTGCGGACCGACCGGGCCGCGAAGGCGCCGCAGAGCGCCGCGACGGCGTCGCGCGTCGCGCCGAAGCAGACGAGGCCGCCCGTCTCCGCGTCGAGGCGATGGCAGGGCTGCGGGCACGTGAGCCCGCCCGGCGACCGCTCGAGCTTGAGGAACGCCGCGTGGCCGAAGTCGCGCGTGCTCACGCCCGCGGGCTTCTCGGCGACGACGACGGCGCCGTCGCCGTGGACGACGCGGCCGCCGGCGCCGTCGACGACGTAGCCCGCGGGCAGCGCGGCGCGCAGGGGGACCGCGTCGCCGTGGACGTCGCGCACGTGGAGCAGGAGGGCGTCGAGGTCCGCCAGGGGCCGGCGCTTCGACGGCGCGCAGGCGGCGCAGACGAGCGGCGGGTTTTCCCGGACGAGCGGCGCGTCTTCCAGCGCCGGCGCGCAGGCGGGCGGCGGGTCTTCCAGCGCCGGCGCGCAGGCGGGCGGCGGGTCTTCCAGCGCCGGCGCGCAGGCGGGCGGCGGGTCTTCCAGCGCCGGCGCGCAGGCGGGCGGCGGGTTTTCCAGCGCCGCCAGGTTTATCTACCGCACTTGTTGCTAGCGACTGCCCACAGCGAGCGCACTAACTGCTGAGTTGTGTGCCGCAATCCATTGCTCTCCCTGTGCAGGACGATACTAACTGCTGATGCTGGCAGCGACACGGTATTTGCCGCAAGCCATGCTCTCCCTTGCGCAGGACAACGATGCAGTAAAGTTGAGGGAAACATTGCGCCAGGATTTTTTACAGGCAGCCCGGGCCGAGGAGTCTGTCCTCTCCGCATGGGAGCGCCGCGGCTGCGGCTCCGGCGCTCCTAGGCCTTCGTCGCCGCGCTCCGAGGCCTCCTGTAACCCGGCAAAACGCGAGACATGGCGGAGAACGTCGCGCCGCCCCGGGAGCCCCCGTCCCCGAAATTCCGCAGCCTCCGCAAGGCGGCCGCCAAGGTCACGGGCGTGTCCCACGCCTTCTCGCGGCGGCCCAAGGACCAGGCCGCGGCGCCCTGGGAGCGGCCGGACGCCGCGTGCGACCCGGCGGACGACGAGGCCGCCGCGGCGACGCGCGACGCCGGCGAGGTCGAGGCGGAGCCCGCGCGCGACGACGCGCCCGCGGCGCCGCCGAGCCCGGGCGTCGACGCCGCGGGCGACGAGGCCGGTGCGCCCGCGGAGCCCGGCGAAGCGTGCGAGCCCGGCGACGTGCCCGAGAGCGAGAAGGTCTGGGTCCTCGGCTACCGCGTGGACCCGCTCTACCGGTTCTCGTGATGGGGGCCGCCCGCGCGTAAGCGCGTCTCGTGGTAACGGACTCGGGGTTCGCGTTTTATTCTGGCTGGGTGTGTGGGTCTTCGGGTGCGCGAAGCTCGCGGCGCGTCCGCGCACGGCGGCCTTCGCTCCTCGCGCGTTCGCTCCGGACGCCGGCACGAGCCTGGCGCTTCGGCTTCGATTCCGACGGCCGCCCGACCCCGACGACAGCCACCAGCTTCCTCGTCCCGCTTAGAGCCCATGCCTTGCGCGGACGGCGGCGCACCTGCGGTCCTTGCACTCGCGTTGCAGGCAAAATCTTCAGTCGTGAATCTGTCGTGACGACGAGCAAAGCAATTGTTCTCGAGCTCCGACAGCCTGCGTGCGCTGAACACGGCAACGAGCCCGATGTTGCAGGCCCTGGCTGCAGAGGCGCGAGCCACCTTGTTCGGCCCGCCCGCGGCCCACTACGAGCCGCCGCGGCCCCCGGACGGCGGCCCGGAAGACGACGACGCCGATTCGAACGCCGGCGGTTCGTCGGCCGACGAGTTCTTCGAGGGCGACGACGACCGCAGCGAGACGTCGGACAGCGACGCGTCCGAGGCGGCGCGCATGGCCGAGGAGGAGGTCATGTTCGGGAGCCGCTTCCCGGATTCGCCGGCCGCGCTCGCGGACGACCTCGAGCGCCGCGGCGCGATCGCGACCGCCGGTTGGCGCCGCGCGTTCCGCCGCGTGGACCGGGCCCTCTTCGTGCCCCAGCGCGTCCTCGCCTGCGCCTACGACGACGCGCCCCTGCGGAGCCGCGACGACGACGGGTCCTGCGTCGTCCACGTGTCCGCGCCGTCGATCTACGCGGCCGCCGCGGAGGCGCTCGACCTCCGGCCGCGGCTCTCCTTCCTCAACGCGGGGTCCGGCAGCGGCTACTTCAGCGCCCTGGCCGCCGAGCTCCTCGGGCCCGACGCCGTGCACCACTGCGTCGAGCGGTGCCCGGCGCTCGCCGCGCGGTGCCGCCGCGTCCTGCGTTCCGAATTCGAGGCGACGTGCGGCCGCGTCGTCGTCCACGGCGCGTCGTGCTTCGCCGTCGACGCGGCGCGGTCCATGCGCTTCGACCGCATCTACGTCGGCGCGGGCGCGCGGGCCCGCGACGTGCCCTTCTTCGCGGAGCTGCTGAAGCCCGGCGGCGTCCTCGTCGGGGCAGGACAAGAGTGATTCAACGTCGCTTCAACGTGAGTGTTCCGCGCGCGCGCGTTCCGGGAAAAGCATCCACGCTTCGAGACCGTTCCGAGAGATGATCGCTCGTCTAAAGATCAGCCGAAACGAGTGGAAAACGGCCGAGCTAGGAGCCTTTGAAGTTGGGAATTTCGCACCCTTGTCCTGCCCAGGTCCTCGTCGGGCCCTTCGAGGCGCCGCCGCCGGAGGACGCGCGGAGCCGGCGGCCCCAGAGCCTGCTGAAGATTGTGAAGACGACGTGCGGGCGCCTCGACGTCGAGGAGGTGCTGCCCGTCCAGTTCACGCCGCTCCACCGCGGCGACGACCCGGGGCCGCAGCTGGCTTTGCGAGGGCCCGTCTGGGGCCGCGACGACGCGGCGGTCTTCCCGCCGGCCTTCCGCGCCGCCGCGGGCACGCTCGCGCGCTCCGGCGCCGCGCTCCTGCCCGCCCACGTCTGGGACACGCACGTGCTCGCGTGCCTGCCCTACGACGGCGTGCCCGAGGCCGCCGCGGCGCCCGACAAGCCGCCGGACGCCGCGCCGGACGACGACGGCGGCGCGAGCGACAGCGACGCGAGCGACGACGCCGCCTGCGACTACTGCGGCGCCGCGGACGCGCGCGGCCGCTGCGGCCGCTGCAAGACCGCGCGCTTCTGCTCGCGCGAGTGCCAGCGCGCCGCCTGGCCCGACCACAAGGCCGACTGCGAGCCGGCCTAGGCGCCGCGCGGCCTCCCCCCCCATTTGTCCATTGCTCCCCGCGTGCCCCCCGCCTGTGTATTACGCGCTTGATGATGCCGCGTAGCCCGCGGCCTCGAGGTGCGCCTGCAGGACCCGGTGCTGCTCGATGAGGTCCTCGCGGAGCGCGACGACGCCCTCGAACAAAGCATTCGCAACTTTGAGCCGATCCACCGGGAAATTTTCTGCGAGTGCGTCGAGCATCCGTCTTACTGCCAAATCGTCGACGTTCATGTCCAACATGTCCTTGGGTTGTGTATCGAAATATTTTTTCATAAGGTCGCCGGGCAATTGGTGAATGCCCCCAAAAATCTGTTCGGACACAGCAACTCTCTTCACCTCAAGCTTCAGAATTCGCTCGAGTTCTCCCATCATCATCCCGCCGTGATCCGGCTTACTGCAGCAAATGTGATCCGCGCCGCGCAGGGCGTGGAAACCGCAACGGCTTTGTAGCTTATCGTAGAGCAGCATGAGAAGCCAGTTCATGTAGCGCTGCGAAAGTTTTTTCAGACATGTGGCTAAACACACTCTGGGGGAGAAGAGATCTAAATAATCTGGATCTACCTTTCGTTCCGCCGTCAGGAGCACAAGCGTCGTCACGTTCGCGTCCTCGCCGCCGTCGCCGTCGGGGCCCCACGCTTCACGACTGGGTCCATTGACGATGGGAGTGATCGATTTGATGCTGTAGCCTTCGGCGATCAGGTCCGTGATCTGTTCATCAAGATCTCCAGACATGTCAGCCTGCGCGGCCGCGAGGCTCGGATGTCCGCCGTAATGAAGCGGTTTCATGGCCTTGGCGGCAGCTACGGCATCCACGCGTATGTCGACGAACCGGTTTAAGGTCTCCACGTTATCCGACCATTGATCATTGTGTTCCAGAAGTAAGCGCATTTCGGCCTCCTTGGCGCAGACGTCGCGGTCCAAGCGCGCGAGCTCCGCTTCCCAGGCTCGCCGGCGTCCCTCGAGCCGAAGTTGCGCGTGCAGCCGATGCAGGCCCACCTTATCGGCGCACGCCACGAACGCGTCCAGCGCTTCGTCGCTCTCCGGCGGCACGATGTGCTTGGGGCCGCGGCGGCGCAGGTAGCTCACGACGCGGGCGAACGCGTCCGAATCGACGTCGAGGTACGCGTCGACCTCGCCCGGCCCCTCGTGGAGCTGGACCAACATGCCCACGACGCTGTCCGGGAAGAGCGTCCATGTCTCCCGCTCCGCCGTAAACAGCCGCTCGCCGGCGCGGATCGAGACGACCTCGTGCGGGTCGACCTCGTCCCGCGGCGACGACGGCTCTTCGCCGCGCGCCCGCTTGCGGCTCTCGGCGCTCCGATCGGGCAGCATGGCGCACGAGGTAGGCTGCAGCAGACCAGGCAGTGCACGCGGGTAATCGCACGAGCGCGACGGCCGGCGCCGGCGCCGGCGCGCTTAAATGCGGCCGGGCAGCCGATTTAGAAAAAAACAACATGCAGAGGCATCCACGGACGTTGCCGACGCTCCTAGCGCTGCCCCCCCCCGGGCGGGGACGATGGACCTCGACCTCGCGGAGATCATCGACGACGGGGAGAGCGGCGCCCCCGACTACGACGTCGACGACGACTACGAGCGCCAGTACCTGCGCGTCCAGCACGACTTCGACAAGCTCACGACGAACTACCGGCGCCTCCAGACGGTCAACGAGGCCCTGAAGCGCCAGATCGAGCAGCAGCACACGCAGCTCGCCGAGTACCTCAAGGCGAAGAACGACGCCGAGCGCGTCGCCCACGAGTCGGAGCTGCGCATGGCGAAGATGGCGAAGAACGCGGAGATCGACGCGCGCGGAAGCGCGTCCGCGTCATGGAGCACCAGATGAAGGAGGTGCTCGAGGAGAGCGACAAGGAGCGGCGCCAGCGCGCCGTCGCCGAGGAGAAGACGGCGGAGCTCCACAAGGCCCTCAACCGCGAGCGCGCGCAGCGGCTCCACGACCTGCACCAGAATTTCCGCATCGCGGGCACGTCGGCCGAAGCGCTGCGGCGCGAGAAGGAGATGGAGGACCGCTACTTCGCCGCGGAGAAGGAGATCGCGGCGCAGGCCCACGAGAAGGACGTGCTCGTCGCCGCCTGCGAGGCCCACGCGAAGATCAACGTGGCCACGGTCCGCGAGGAGCGCGCGATCGAAAGAGAGCTCGAGTTCGGCCGCGCGGAGGCGCTGCTCCTCAAGTCGGCGCTCCAGGAGGCGCGCGACGACCAGCGCGCGACGAAATCGGCGAACCGGCGGCTCCAGGGCGACGTGTTGGCGCTCCGGACGGACCTCGCGCGCGCGGCGCGGCCGCGCGGCGGCGGCTCGCTCCGGGAGCCGAGCGCGTCGTCGACGAACCACAAGCTCTCGACCGTGCGCTTCAGCCTGCCCCTCCTCCAGGGCAGCGCCATCTCCGGCGAGAGCGGCACGCTCAAGGACGGGTCCTTCGTCGTCGAGCACCCGCTCCGGTCGCCGCCGCCGCCGCCGCAGCCCAAGAAGAAGGGCAAGGGCAGCCGCATCAAGCCCCGGGAGGTCGGCGTCGACGTCGACGAGGAGGACCGCGTCGAGTTCTCGCGCACGGGCACGATCATCTCCAAGGAGGGCTCCTACCTGTCCGCGGCCGACGAGCTCGGCGGCGGCGCCGCGGCCTTCGACGACGGCGACAACCCCCGATGAGTAAGGTCGGCAAAATAAAGAGGGGGGGGGGAGCGGGGGCCGCGCGTCGGCCGGGGGCTTTTTTGGGGGGGGGAGGGGGCGGCGCGCGCGGCGGCGGCGCCTAGAGCGCGGCCTCGAGCGCCGCGACGTCCGTGTTGCCGCCGCCCTTGGCGAAGGCGGCGCAGAGCGTGAGCATCTCGTGGTCGTTGAGCGCGGCCGCGAGGCCCAGCGTCGTGAGCGCGAGCTTGAAGGCGCCCTCGGGCATGAGCCCGGGCGGTAGGCCCGGCGGCGTCGCCTCCTTGAGCATGGCGACGACGTCGACGCCCGCGGCCGCCGCCGCGGCCGCGAGCTTCGGTACGACCTTGGCCGGGTCCGAGAAGGGGAACTCGTCGGCCATCTCGGCCATGGTCTTCAACGACGCGCCGTCGACCTCGATGACCTTCATGACGTTGTGCGCGGAGAGCTTGACGAGCGCGCCTGGGCAGCAAAAGGGTGATTCAACGTCGCTTCAACGTGAGTGTTCCGCGCGCGCGCAAGCTTTTTATTAGCATCCACGCTTCGAGACCGTTCCGAGAGATGATCGCTCGTCCAAAAATCAGCCGAAACGAGTGGAAATCGGCCGAGATATGAGCCTTTGAAGTTGGGAATTTCGCTCTCTTTTGCTGCCCTGGAGCGCGCCGAGGTAAAAGTCCGTGGGCGAGAAGTAGCGCATCGCGCCGCTCCCGGCCTCGTCGGGGACCTTGTACTTGCCCCGCTTGAGGAAGGCGCCGCCGATGACGCCCGAGTTGTTGACGTGCTCCTCGAAGATGGACAGCGTGTTGTCCGGGAGGAAGTACGTGAGGATGAACGTGCGCCGCGGCTCCTCGATCGCGTTCGCCGACGCGTGGCTCCGGGGCTTCGTCGTGCCGTCGGGCCGCACGGGCACGAGGCGGCAGCGGATCGTCTTGTCCTGGACCTTGAGCTCGCGGTCCCAGTCGCACTGCTTGCCGCTGTAGCCGTGCATCGTCGACGTCGCGTAGCCGTGCTCCTCGTCGCAGAACGCGGACGCGGTGAACGACGGCGCGCCGTCGTCGACGGGCTTCTTCGGCGACTTCTTCGCCGCGCCGCCGCGCGACGGCGGCGGCTTGGGCGCGTGCTGCGACGGGGGCTGGACGACGCCGAGCGCCTCGCGGTACCAGTTCCGCGTGAACTGCGTGCAGTCGACGAGCTTCAAAATCCGGTTGTAGACGTTGATCGTCGCGCCGATCTTCAAGTCCTCCGCCGCCGCGTGGCGCGGCGGCGCGCCGCGCTGGATCGCGTCCCAGTTCAGGGGCAGGGGCTGGCGGCGGAGGAGGTGGGGGAAGCGGTCGAAGCCCGGCTGCGGCGACGTGCAGAGCTCCGCGCACGAGTCGCTCAGGTAGAAGCAGAGCTTGTACTCGTGCTGCTGGCCGCCGGGCGACGGGTCGTCCCAGGTCACGACGAACTTGAGGACCTCCCCCTCGTGGCTGAAGAACTGGCGCTCCTTGTTCATCTGCTGCTTCCGGACGCCCGCCTCCGGGCTTTTCCGGAAGACCTCGAAGCCGCCGCCCTTGCCGTAGGCGACGCCGCCCGCGGCCTTGCCCAGGCCCGTGGCGTGCTCCGCGTGGTACTCGCGGGGCGTCGCCACGGGGTAGTCCACGGCCGGCGGCTGCGTCTTGCCGAAGACGCGCGCGTACCAGTCGCGCGTGAACCCGTCCGCGTCGACGAGGTAGAACGTCTGCCCGAGGAAGACGAGCTCCCCGCCGACCTCGAGCCCCTCGGGCCCCGCCGTCGACGGCGCGCCCAAACCCGGCGCGGGCTGCGTCTTCCAGCCCATGCCCGCGGCGCCGGGAGGCGCGCGGTTGAAGAAGCGCCCGCCGGCGACGCCGGAATTCGACGTCCGCTCCTCCAACACTTCCACGGTGCCGTCCTCCAAATGAAACAGCACGAAGCACTTGCGCACCTGGACGCCCCGGTCGCTGGGCTTGCCGAGCTCGCCGGAGAAGGCCCACTCCGTCGACTCCGTGAAGTACGCCGCGAAGCGAAGCACGCCCGGCCGCTCCATGGGGGCCAGCGAACTCGGCGCGAACGCGGCGGTAGCTTCCGACGTGAAGGCCGCGTCCTCGTCGACGGGGCCCCGGCCCGCGCTCCGGCTACCGGGCCGGCGCGGGGACCGCGAGCTCGGCCGCGGGCTCGAAGGCTTCGCGGGGGACGCCGCGGGGCTCGCGGGCCCGTCGCCGCCGGCCGCGGCGGACGCGCCCAGCAGGCTCGCGCAGCGCGGCGACCCCTTGGCCGTCGCCGCCCGGTTCTCGCCCCCGGACGGGTGCGCCATGGTCCACTCCTGGGCCAGCACCTGCGTCTTGTTGAAGCCCCCGGGCGTCGCCGCGCGCGAGTACCAGGCGTCGCCGCGCAGCGCCAGGCCGGGGAGCAGGGGCACCTCGACCTGCTGGCCCGTCGACGCGAAGACGTAGCGCATGGTCGCCGGCGAGGGGTGAAAGGCGGCACAGCGGCGGGGCGCGGTCGCCGCTGCCGAAACCGACGGTCCGGGCTTCAGAGAGCAATCGTTTCAGTCGGTTTCAATCCATGTACAAAAAGGCACGGCACGGTCAACTCTGGCTTTCGTCGCCAAATGAGACTGGCAAATCAGCCGGGGCAATCCACAGCCCGGTCCCAGCACATCTGCTGCTCGCGGCGTGCCACCCACGCCATGTCCGAGCTCGCGGCGGCCGTGGCGTCGCTGGGCGTCGACGACGAGGACCCGCGCATCGCGACGCTGCGGCCGGACGAGTTGGTCGCCTACGCGCTCGGCCGCAAGACTCTGCTGGGCATCCGCGGCAGCCGGCCCCGCCACTTCTTCGCGCACCTCGGGTTCAACCGCTTCGCGGCGACGGAGACGCCCGTGCCGGCGCGGGCGGAGGAGACGGAGACGCCGTCGCCGCTGTGGCTGCGCGAGCTCTGCTTCGACAGGAACAAGAAGCGACTCCGGCCCGCGAAGCCGGAGGACCTGCCGGCGTCCGAGCCGCTGCGCATCCTCGACGACGACGCGACGCCCTTCGTCGCCTACGTCGACGCGAACGCCGCGGTCTACCGGCGGCCGCGGGACGGCTACCTCGACGCGCGCGACTGGACGGGCGAGTTCGCCGTCGACCGGCTCTTCTATTCGGAGGTCGTCGCGGAGGTCGAGGCGCCCCGGCGCTGCTGGCCGGGCGAGGGCTGCCTCCTCATCGACGTCGAGGACGGCGTCTTCGTCTTCGTCGGCGGCGAGGTCTACGCCTTCCGCTCCGAGCCCGTCGAGGCCTTCCACTGCTCTCTCGGCGCGGGCGGCGGCGTCTACGCGCTCGCCGTCACGGCGACGTCCTGCGTCTTCCTCCGGGACCGCGCCATGGCGAAGCGGAGCGACGTCGAGCCCCACCTCGGCGACGCGGGCTGGGCCGGCGCCTACGGCGTCCTCTACGACCGCAAGCCGCCCCGGAGCCCGCTCCGGGACGTGAAGCTCATCGCCGGGCGGGACGACTAAGTCCTTACTGCGAGGGCGGACCCGCGTGGACCGCGTCGACGACCGCGGCCGCGACGAGCCGCGTCGGGTCGAGGAGGTCCACGGCGGGAACCTTTCGGTTCGCGGCCGCGCAGTACGCCGCAACGTCCACGAGAGGCAGCTCCGTGCACGCCAGGAGCACCGTCGCCGCGCCCGCCGCCGCCACGTCGTCCAGCAGCGCGACGAACGCCGCCGCCGTGTCCTCGCTCGCCGCGCCCTCCCGCTTCACGGCCCAGATCACCGCGCGGAGCGCGTCCTTTTGCGCGTCGGTGAGGCGCACGAGTTCGCAGCACAAGCCGAGCGCCGCGTAGGGCGACAGGTCCGGGTGCGTCGTCACGGGCCCGCCGAAGACGGCGACGGCGCCGCGGTTCAGGCACGCGGACGACGCCGCGGAGACCATGGACAACAGCTTGGACCGCGGCTGGTCGATGAGGTCGAGGAAGCCGAGCATCTCCGCCTCGAAGGCGTGGAGGGTGTTGCAGGCGACGACGACGACGTCGACGAGCGGCGCGAGCTCCTTCAGGGTCACGCACAGCGCCTTGAGCGTGCGGCGGAAGCCCTCGGAGCCCGGCGCGACGTCGCCGACGTCGCGCGGCCCGCCGACTCCGGAGACGGACCAGAGGAGGACGTCGAGCGCGTCGCGATCCGTGGCGTAGGCCGCGCCGAGCCTCGCGCGGTGCGCCGCCTGCAGCTTGAGGAAGAGGTCCGCGCCGGCCTCGGGGCCCGAGCCGCCGATGATGCCCACGCGCGGCTTGCGGCGCGTCACCTGGGCGGCCATTGCGTTTGCGGTTGCAGAGGGCTAGCGGTTTTGCAGCGGCAGCGACTCAGTGGCAGCGACTCAATGCTCGTCCATGCCCTCAAAGACAGCAGCACCAAAACAGCACCAAAAACATTTGTTTGCCACAAGCGACATGGCGAGCGCCTAGCCTGTGTCCGTACACAAAACGGCCATGAGCAGCCTGAGCTCGTCCTACGCCAAGTGGGACGCCATGGACGTGAGCGACGACGAGGAGCAGCGGTGGCAGCCGCCGCGCGACATCGACGTGCCCCTGAACATCACCGACGACGACCTCGCGACGCCCCAGTTCGCGAGCCCCGAGGACGCGGCGCAGGAGGCGGCGCGCGTCAAGGCCATGAGCGACGGCGACCGCGCGAACTGGCGCGCCGCCGGCTGGCTCCACTCCCGGGCCGGCGACGCCGACGAGGCCGGCGAGTGCGCGCGGCGGAGCGCGGTCCACCGCTGTGCCGAAAAAAGCAGACTTCAAACCTCTCCAGCTCGGTCAAATCGAAGTCGATTCGGCTGATTTTTGGACGATTCGATTGCTCTCGGCGGGCTCTCTACGTCGAAACTGTCGAATACGCTCACATCGAAGTCGGGTTACAGATTTGATTTCGGCCCAGGTGCACGACGAGCTCGAGTCCGTCGCGTCGGAGCGCGACTGGCAGGAGCGCTGGTCCTCCGACGGCGAGAAGCGGCGGCGCATCGTCGAGGCGCGGCTCCGGCGGACGCCGGCCATCGGCGCGGAGGTCAGGCTCCCGCCCTGCGCGGGCTTCGACTTCCCGAGCGCGCTCGAGATCCTGTGGTGCTGGGGCGAGGCCGTCTGCCTGTTCCACGCCGCCGCGTCGACGGCGCTGGGCGCGGCGAAGAAGCCCGGCGCGACGACGCTCGACGACCCGCACTGGAAGGTGAAGCTCGGCGGCTGGAGCCGGGACGACGCGCTCGACGACTTAAGGCGCGACCTCGACGACCTGCGGGGCGACGTCGCGGGCCCGGACGAGGACTGGGTCAACGCCGACGCGCGCCGGCGGCGGGGCGTCCGCGCGAAACTCGACCCCGGCGCGGGCGCGGGCGCGGAGACCTGGCGGGACTGGGTCGCGCTCTGCTCGAAACGCTACGCGCCCTTGGCCCTCCACCTCCCTTCCGTCCTCTCCGCGGTCTTCGACGCGACGGACGCGGCCATCGACGCGGTCCTCGACAAGGACGGCGCCCTGCTCCTGAGCCAGCTCAGCGTGGGCCTCCAGTTCCTCGCGCGGCAGCTCGAGGGCGTCACCGTCGCGCTCTTCGTCGACGGGCCGGAGACGCTGCGGCGCCGCGTCGACGCGGGCGACTACGCGGCGTCGGCGTCGGCCTTCGCGGAGATGTGGGAGGCGACCTTCGAGCGGGGCGACGCGCCGAAGATCGTCGGCGGCGACGTCGAGCGCTGGGCCGCGCGCGTCTGGCCCTGGGACCTCGAGCCGGCCAAAGACGGCGGTTCCAGACGGACGCCGCGGCACCCGGACCTCGCGCGGTTCCGGGGCAACGCGCTCGTCGCGTGGTACCCGATCCGCGTGCTGAGCGACCGGTCGCCGACGACGCTCCGGGAGCTCGCGAAGCGGTCGTCGTCGTTCGCGGCCTTCGCCGTCGAAAGCCCCGGCGAGCGCCTCGCGAGCGACGACTTCGCGGTCGCGGACGACGGCCCGGCGCCGGACCACCTCGCGGCCGTGGACCCGCGGCGCGCGGCGAAGGGCGACTTCGACGTCGGCACGCACGTCGCGCTCTGCCGCCTGTCGCGCGCGGACCTGAACGGGCAGCGCGGCGTCGTCGAGCGGCGGGTCGCCGGCGGCCGCTGCGGCGTGCGGCTCCCGGGCCACCCGAAGCTGCTGGCCATCCGGGCCGCGAACCTCATCCCCCTGGCGGCGCCCGTCCCGCACCCGCCCCAGAAGCGGACGCCGCGGCCGGGCGGCGAGTCCACGGTGACCGTGTCCCTGCCGGGCTACGCCGGCGCGCCGCCGCCGGACGCGGCCCTCGTCGACGTGCCGTCGAAGAGCGCCGACGCGTTCGCCCAGGAGGAAGGGCAGTAATGTCCACACGCGACACAAGGCGTTTTTTTTATGAGACGAGGCACGCGTCGAGCGCGTCCGCGACGTTGGCGGCCGCGGCGGCGTCCGCGTCCGCGACGCGCGCGAGGACGTCCGCGGCCGCGGCGCAGTCGCGCCGGTCCGCGTAGAGCCCCGCGAGGCGCCAGGCCACGGCGCCCAGGTCCGGGCAGCGGCGCCGGGCCTCGGCGAGCGCGGGCTCCATCGCCGCGCGCGCCGCGGCGTCGCTCAGGTCGTAGGCCCGCACGACCGCGGCACCGTGCGCGCGCGGCGCCGCGGCGAACGCGTCGTCGGCGAGCGCGGCGCGGAATTGCGCCAGCGCGCCGCCGCGGTCGCGCCGCGCCAGGGCCTCGAGGCCGTCGAGGCGCGCGCAGGCGTCGACGGCCGCGTCGGTGATTTCGGCGTCGAGCTCGATTTCCAGCACGGCCGCCAACGTCGCGGGCGACGCGCCGGCGACGTCGTAGACGCGATCCGACGGCCCCGCGACGGAGACGCGCCCCGCGCCGCATTTGCCGCGGCAGGCGCCCGCGCGTATGCCGACGGTCGGCCCGGCGAGGGCGCGCGCCGTTTCGAGGGTCCGCTGCGACAGGGCGTTCTTCGCGCAGGTTTTGCCGGCGCAGACCTCGAGCGACGGCGCGAGGCCATCGGCGAGGCCGACGAGCAGGACGATGCAGGCCGCGGTTGTCGTCGGGCGGCCGCGCATTGCGAAGATCGAGGTTTCAGGGGGCTTCTTCACTGCATCGACTTCAACTTGAAGTTCATCAGCGCCTTCCCGGCGCCGCTCGAGGAGGAGCTTTAAGGCTGGATTCCACTGCAGCAGCCGCCGCCGCCGCGCGCGGGCTGTTCCAAACGCGTGTGGCGAAACTAGCGACTTCATGGGTACTGGACGTCGCGGTGGCCCGACGCGGCGCGCGTTCGATCTTCGCAGCGATTTTCGCCACGGCAAGTTGCGCGCCGCGAAACCACCGCCGCCCCGCCATCGCGAGCCGCGAACAACCCTGGCGCCTGGGGCAGTGCTTGAGCAAGCCGCGATGGCGGCGAGATGCCCGCGTGTTGCACCAAACAGGCGTCAAACAAGCCAAAGGAGTAGAAAGCCAGTGGCAGTGGCAATTCATACTAACAATCACTGCACCAACGTGAGGCTGGCTGTCGCGCGAACTATAAAGCCACAACGACCACCATGGCCGCCGAGACCGACGAGTTCGCCAAGAGCAGCGACCGCATCTGCACGCACATGAACGACGACCACGCCGCGAGCGTGCTGGGCATGGCCATGATGGTCTGGCCCAAGGCGCGGCGCGCGCGCATGGTCGCCCTCAAGGCCGACGCCGTGGTCCTCGCGGCGGCGGACGCGGACGGGGCGTCGACGCGGTCGCTGTCCCTGCCGCTGGACCCGCCGCTGGCGTCGCCCGGCGACGCGCGCCCGCGCCTCGTCGAGATCCACAAAGTCGCGCTGTCGCCGGCGCTCGACATGCCGCTGGCCGGCGTCCTCGCGGCGCTCATGGCCGTGCTCTTCGCCGCCGCCTTCACCGACTACCTCCCCGCCGTCACCGCGTTCTTCGCAGTCGCGTTCCCGGACGGCGACTGCGTCCGGAAGCTCGTCTACTTCACGTGCGCCGTGCACAGTCTGGAGGCGCTCTACGCGGCCTACCTCGCGCGGTCGCTCAAGCTCGGCTTCAGCGCCTGCGCGGGCTGGGGCCTCGCGGCGCTCGCCGTCGGCGTCGGCGCCCTGAACCGCATCGTGCCCCTCGCGAACGCGAAGACGCTCCCCAAGGCGGCCAAGCTCGACTAATCAGCGCCAGAGCGCGTCGGGTTTTCGCCGCTTCGCCGCGCGCGCCGCGAGCGTCTCCAAATCCGGGAGGTCCCCGGCGGCGGCGGCGCCGCGCTTCCGGGACGACGCGCGCGCGACGGCCGCCGCCAACGCCGGCGCGTCGGCGGCGACGGCGCGGCGCCAGAGGCCGTCGAGGTCGACGGCCGCGGCCGCGAGCGCCGCGGGGAGGTCGTCGGCCTCGCCGACGCCGCGCCACTTGCGCGAGAGGAGCAGCGGGAGCCAGACGTCCGCCGCGCGCGCGGCGCGCGGCCCGCGGTCCGCGCGGCCCGCGAGGCCCGCCGCGAGGGCGCCGTCGAGGGGCGGCCAGAGCGCGCCGGCGGCCCGGAGCAGCGGCGCCGCGGCCTTGCGGTCGCCGCTCAACAGCCGCGGGTGGTCCAGGAGCGCGGGCACGAGCGCGTGGCCTAGCGTCGCCGGCGGGAAACTCGCGAGGTCGTCGGCGAGCTTCTTCGGGAGGCCGCCGCCCCGCCGCCGCTTCTCTTTGAGGCACGCGTCGATGAGCGCGTCGGCCCGGCGCCGCAGCGCGTCGAGCTTCCGCCGCTGCGGCGCCCAGTACTCGTCGTAGAAGTAGGCCGCGAGCGCCGCGCGCGCGCTGCCGAGGACGCGCGCGCTCGGCAGGGCGTTGTGCGTCGCCGCGTGGCGCACGTCGACGAGCCAGCCGGGCAGGCCGCGCTGCTCCGCGAGGGCCGCGACGGACACGGCCTGCTGCCGCGTCTGCCCGGCGTCGACCAAACCGTTGACGCACCGCACGACGAGCATCGACGACGCGAGGCGATCGCCGGGGCCGAAGGCCGCCGCGGCGAGGGCCGCGCTCGACTCCACGGCGTGGGGCACGCCGCCGCGGAGCTGCCAGCTCGCGACGCGGGCCACGCCGGCGGCCACCGACGGCGCGTCGCTCCCGTGGAGGGCCTCGCAGACCCAGACCCACTCGTCCCAGTCCGCCCAGGGCACGACGCGCGGGACCTGCGCCATCGCAGACTGGGGCGATGGAGCAGCTGGGTCAGGCGCGGAGGCTTGGAGCAGCTGGGTCAGGCGCGGAGGCTGGGCGATGGCCAAGTCGGGCCGCACAGCCTTCGCTCGACAGCGCTCCGTCAACATGAAGTCTCGAACGCACGGTGAAGCGGACGCGTACTCGGCGATTACGCGTCCGCGAAGGTCGACGGTCGGCTCGCGCAGCAGTCCCAGGCCGGCGGCTCGTCGCAGAAGCGCTCGGGCCGGAAGGCGCCCGTGAAGGGCGTGTTCGGGCAGTGGCGGCACTGCTCCACCTCCGGCGGCGGGCACGCGTCGCCGTTGGACGGCGGCGCCGGGGCGGCCGCCGCGCGCGTCGCGTTCGCGGCCGCGCGGAAGTCGTTGGGGATGAGCTGCTGCGCCGGCTCGTCGAAGACGGCCCAGGTGTGGGAGAAGTAGGCGAAGACCGCGCGGACCGCGCGCCGCGCGGGCGAGTCCTGCTCCGCGAGCTGCGCCTTGCGACGCGACGGCGCGCGCCAGGACATGTTCCGCGCGGCGTCCGCGGCGGCCACGACGCCGCCGACGACCTGCGCGATACATATCGGTGGCGGTTTCGCGAGAGACCGCGGACGCGGCCGCGGCGGACGTCGCGCCAGTCCGACCGGTCCATCGCCGCCGCGTCGCGCGCCATGGACGCCGCGTGCGCCGCGAGGAGCACGGCGTGGGCGTGGGCGTTGCCGTCGAAGAGGCCGTGGGAGAAGACGCAGCTCGTGAAGTCGCGCCAGAGCACCAAGACCCGCATGCCCGTGACTCCTTTTACGAGCGCGGAGACGTCGAGGCGGTCGCTCCGGAGCAGGCGCGCGTACACGTCGTCGAGGGTCGCCTGCCAGGTCCCGCAGCGCCAGCACCGGTTGAGGTCGCCGCGCCGGTCGAGGCCGTAGCCCTTCCACGCGGGCGGGTAGCCGCCCGGGAAGCAGCTCTTGAGGTAGAGCGCCGCGAGGCGGTCCGGCGGGTGCAGCCGCCGCTCCGACGGATAGGACCTGTGCGACGCCACGGTTCCCCGAAAAATTTGCGACGGGACGCCGCGGTCGCGCTCCCAGCCGTAGAGCGCGTAGAGCGCGCAGCGCCGGCCCTGCCGCGCGGGGGGATGGCCGAAGAAGGGCATCTCCGTGCGGTCGTCGCAGTCCGTGCGGTGCGCGACGGTCACGAGCTGGACCACGGGCGCGAGGAAGCCGTTGACGACGCCGTGGTGGCCCGCGCCCTCGATGCCGGACACGAAGACGTCGAGGCGCTTGTACTTGCCATAGAGTGGCGTCCGATGCCACTCCGCGGCCTGGTCCTTGATCGCGCAGACGCCGGGCGGCGGCGCGCCGGGCGCGCGCGCGTCAAACCGGCGCAGCAGCAGCAGCGCCGCGAAGAGGCGCGCCGCCATATCGCGCGCAGCACTCTAGTGCGGTGACACCATGCTGCCCATGGTTCGCACAGTGAAGTCAGGTTGACGGTTCCTCCGAGGTTTCAAATAGTCGATCTACGCCCTCTTTAGTACTCGACGCCCTCGTCCTCGAGGACCTTCTTCGCGATGGGGAGGAACTCCTTCGTGCAGGAGATCGGGTGGTTCATCATGAGGCCGATGCCGCGGATGAAGACGCAGAGCCGGCTCGGCATGACGATCATGGGCACGACCTCGTCCCAGGGGTCCAAGGCGTACATCTTGTCCATGAACTGCTGGAAGTTGAGCCCGTCCGTGACGTCCTTGCCGTCGCGGTCGAGGCTGAACGTGAGCATCTTCACGCGGCAGAGATCCGTGTTGTAGCGCGACCGCATGCCAATCTCCGCCGCGAGGCTCCGGAGCTTCGCGACGTCCTCCGTCGCGAGGGCGACGTAGCAGCGGCAGAGCCAGTGGCGCTCCGCGTCACTGAGGCGCTTCACCTGGCCGTAGTCGATGCAGCCGATCGCGCCGTTTTCCAGCAGCAGGAAGTTGCCCGCGTGCGGGTCGCCGTTGAAGAGGCCGTCGACGAGGAGCTCGTGGCCGTGGACGGCGCAGAGCGTCGACATGACGCGCGCGGGGTTGAAGTCGCCGAGCAGGGGCGCCGCGTAGGCCGGCAATTCCGCGCCGCGTAACCGCGCGGCCGCGCGCCGCAGGAAGACGCCGCAGTTGACCAGCGCGCAGCGGCAGCGGTCGGCGACGCGAAAGGCGTCCAAAGCCAGCGCCGACGGCCCCGCGTAGGGCTCCGGGTAGCCCTCGCGCTCGAACTTGTCCACCATGCGCTTCTTCAGAGTTTCGAAGGGCACGCCCTCGCGCGCGGCGGCGCGGTCGCCCAGGCGCTGGATGCCGTCGACCAAGTTCTCGCCCCGCATGTAGGACATCACCAAAACGTCCTTCGTGCAGAGCTCCGCCACGGGCCGCGGGACGTCGACGGCGCCCCGTCGAACATGGGAGTCGCGGACGAAGCCGGCGCGCTTCAAATTCGCGCGGACCTCCGCCAAATGCTTCGCCTCGGCCCGGTAGTCGAACTCCGTCGCGAACTGGGCCTCGATCTCGTCCAAAATCGCGACCTGCTCCGGCGCGAGGAGCGTCGCCGCGCGCTTCCCGTTGCGGATGTCGTCGCGCATGATCCGCTCGTTGCCCGCGCCGTACTGCACCTTGACGGCGACCTCCCGGCCGTCGAGGAGCGTCGCGCGGTGCACCTGGCCGATGGACGCGGAGCCCAGCGGTGTGTCGTCGAAGGTCTTGAAAATTTCATGGATGGATTCGACGTCGTAACTTCTGCGTATGGTATCGCGCACGAGGTCCGTCGCCTGCGGCGGCACCGCGTTCTCCAGCGTCCGCAGCTCCTTGGTCCAGACGTCGGGCACGATGTCGGGCCGCAGCGCGAGGAACTGGCCGAGCTTCACGTAGGAGCCCAGCATGCGGCGCATGCACGCGACCGTCGGTTGCGCGTGTTGCTCGTGGAGCGCGGCCCACTCGGCGTCTTCCAGGGCCGGGTTCTCGTGGCCGTTCCAGTCGCGGCGCAGCTTCTGCTTCTGCTCGAGGACGCGGTAGGCGATAATCACGGGCGCCATCTCGCTGTAGAGCACGAAGGTGCGCTGGGCCGTCGTCGGGTCGCCGGCGTAGAAGGCGCCGCAGCCCAGGGCGCCGAAACCGGCGGCGCCCGCGGCGGCGCGGCGCAGGGCCATGGTCGAGCGATTTGTGTGTGTTGCCACTCGAGCTCGGCGCGACCGCTGCGCCTGTGCGACGCGCTGCGACGACGCGCTTCGTCGACGCAGCTCGTCGACGCGGCTCGTGCTGAGGAGGATGACAAGGTTCGCA